AACCTCTGAGTTACGGCTGGAAGAATTACAGTAGGAGCTACGGAACGAATCGTCAATAACCAAATACAGTGTAAGATTTTAGTTTCAATCGTTTCATGCCATTCTACTCGGCCAACCTTCTCTTTTCCAGCTATGATAGGAAAGTAAGCAAAAAAAATTACAGTAGGAACAAAACAAACTTAATCTATTTTCTTATTAAAAACAACAAAAAAGATGTTTTCAGAAAACTGTTTAGAAATCAACACTATCGAGTGTTACTTTTCTGAACAAAACAGAGGCTACTTTAATGAAACAGTCCTCCGAATCAGAACTTCATAATCAGTGCTCAGAGTTTTTTCGAGGGAGAAGGGAATCACTGCAAGTTTAGGTTTGGAGCAAGAGAGTCTATTTCAAGGTTTAACTGACACCAACAGATTGGCAGCCTTATGGACCTTGTACTGAAGGAAATGATGCTGAGTCACAATTTCAAGAGCAAGAGTGACACCTCGTGGCCTATCAAAACATACCAAGCTTCCTTACAGGCAGGTTTTAAAAAAATACCTTTATTTTTTTTGTTTGGTTCCTTCATTTGTTGCTTTCTGTTTTATATCGTACATGAGTAAAATCATGATTCTTTTCCTTTTCTGTCTGACTTATTTCACTTAGCATGATACTGTCAAGATCCATCCATGTTGTCACAAATGGCAGTATTTCACCCTTTCTTATGGCTGAGTAGCATTCCATTGTATATATCCATGTAGTACATCTCGAATTAATTTTGTTTCCGTATAATACTTTGCGAAGTAATCTTACTATGGGCCACGGGCTGCAGCACAGTTCCAAGAGGCTGCTGGTTCTGTGTACAATGTCTCTAACGCCTGAAGTCCCAGCCCTCCCCAACTCAAGGTAACCACAACCCTAAATCCTGGGTTCACTGCTCCTTTGCTCGCTTCATCTCATATCATCCGTGTGTGGTCCTAAAAGAAACCATTTTGGTTTTTGTTGTTTTGACTTCGCTGTGGCTAGTGCAACCAAGGAATGGAACTTTTTATTTTCTTTAATTTAAATTAATTTAAGCTTAAGTAGCCACATGTGGCTAATAGCTATTTTAGACAGCAAAGCTGGAAATCATACCGCTAGGACTCATTCAGATTGTTCGCATGTAGCTATAGATCAGGGAACCGCACACTTTTTCTGTAAAAGGGCAGAAAGTAAATATTTTAGACTTTGCAGGCCATATATAGTATCTGTTGTGTCATCTTTTTTTAAATAACACTTTAAAATTGTTAAACCATTCTTAGCTCATGGGCAGTACAAAAACAGGCTTCTCTGGACTTGGCCCACAGGTTGTATAATATTCCACTTTTTAAAAAACATACCACACACTTTATTGATCCATTCTCTTGTCAATGGGCATTTGGGTTGTTCCCAGGTTTTATTACTCACAACAGCACGAACATTTTCACATGTGTTTCCTTGTACACACATGCGAGAATTTCTCTTGGGTGCAAACCCAGAAGTGCAGTCACCAGGCAGTGATTTCTCTATGTTCTATTTCACATGACAATGCCAAGCTATTTTCCAGAGCAGCTGACAAATTTCTTCTCCTCCTGTCAACAGTCTATAAAAGATCATGTAGATGCAAATCCTCTCCAAAACAGTACGATCAGAATTCTTAATTTATGCCACTACAATGGCCAAAAAACGGCATCTCGTTGTGGTCCTGATGTGCATTTCCCTGATCAGTAACAAGTTTAAACATCTCTTGTGTGTTTATGTACCTTTATGTTAAGGTATATGTTATGTTTTTCCACTTCGGTGCAATAGCTCTTATATGTTTCTTCTCCAGTTTTCCATTGGGATATTAGCCTTTTCGTATTTATCTGCAGGTGTTCCTTACATATTCTCGATACTAAATCTTCTGTTGATTATATCTATTGGAAACATGTTCTCCCGAGTTTGTAATGTGTCTTCTCACTTTCTTTTGAAGTGTCTTTTGATGAACAGAAAGCCTTAATTTCAATATAGCCAATTTTTGCAATTTTTTCTCCAATAGTGCTTTTTGTGAAATCTTTCTCTTAATCCGTTTGAAAAAAATATTCACCTATTAATATATCGAAATAAATCTGATAGCTAAAAATTGTAAGCCTTCGTTTTTGATATTTAAGTCCTTAATTCATTTGAAATTGATCATTGTGTATGACACGTAAGGATCAAATTTTTTTCCCATAAGGATATCCACTTTTTAAGCTCCTTTAATTTCATGATAGAAATTCTCCTCGAAATGCACCTTTAGAGTCCATACTGTAGCCCGTGGTCCATAATAAGATTATTTTGCAAAGTATTATACAGAAACAAAATTAATTTGAGACATAGTACATGGATATATACAATGGAATACTACTCGGCTATTAAAAAAAAAAAAACCCAAGTGGTGGTTTTTTTTTTCTCATTGAACTAATAAGTTGAATCTAAAATTTTATAGAAAGAGCCAATAGCCAAGATACTTCTGATAAAAAGGGTAAGAAGGAAGATATACCTGCCCAAGCAGATACCAAGATTTCTTATTAGCTATAATAATCTACACAAACTAAGGAATGGGAAAGAACAGCACTATCGTGTACTTAAGGACCATGTTACCCGCCTAACACTAGCCACACTTAGCAAGTGAAATGCGACAATGTCATGTACCCATGTTAACTGGTGAATGGGGCCGCCATAAGGTCTCCCAGACGGACAATCCCTATGACAGTGCAGTGTACTACTCCATCTACCCAACAGGACTTTTCTACGTGTCCGTGCGACAAGAATTAGTAACGTCAAAAGATGCTGTCACAAAAAGGGCAGAGGACAGAGATGGCGAAAGGGACGTTGTCTGAATAATCCTTGGGAAAAGGCTACTAGTCCCTTGATGGTCTCGCTGCCATATAACCTATATTCCTCTCAGAAAGACTTTTTCTAGAAATCAAGCTTTATAGGTGGATGGCCAGGGGGGATGGAGCAATTGGGGGAATCGTTTTATGAACTATATAGATGTCTAACCAATATACTGTATACTTGAAACTAATTTAAATAAATAAATTTTTTAAAAAAGAAATCGAGCTTTAGAACATTTTCTGAAAACGTATTCATCCTTCATATGTTCAGCACCAATCTAAATCAGAGAGGTTACTCACTAGACAAGTCTTCAATGTGTCATATCCTAAGACGGATTTAGTGATTATCACTGGTACTTAAACACACATATGCGCCACAGACAAAAATACCCTAGACGCCTGCTACTTAAAGTGTGATCCAAAAGCGGACAATATCCTGTTAAAATGCAGACTCTCAGGCCCCAACCCAGACCTGGTGAACCAGAATGTGCCTTTTAAGCCCCAGTGATCTGTGTGAGTCTGAGGCGGCCTGCCCTCGGTGACTATTTGCCCTTTCTTCTCCTAATCCCTCGTAGTCAGAAAGCTAACCCTCTACAGTGCTTTTGTTCTCTCTTTTACTCTTTTCTCCATTTTTTCCCCCCTTTTTTGTTCTTGTCTTCTTTTTCCACCATGTCTCACATGATTCTCCTCACGTGGATGGAACAAATAGGGACTGTCTTCTAGAACCAATGGAAGTGTTCTTTTCCTGAAGCCGCCAGTCTGACCACACTGTGTTTTCTGCCACTTTTGCATGTGTCCTAGGCCATCTTCACTGATGCACAGGGTTTCCTGCTGCTCCAAATGGAAGATGCCTGACTGCTGAAATGCCAGTTACGTGCATGCGGGCATACGCAGACCCTTCTACAAGCTGAGGGAAAGTAACTGTAATTCTTTGGGTAATAAACAGAATCCATTTTTAGAGCTGGTCATTGGCAAAAAGTAGTGTTTATGACATGCTTTAACAAGAGATGAAAATGCACATAAATTGTCAATAATTCACATAAGCATTTCACAAAAGGCATTAATTTTAGCATATATATTAGAATTCTAAAAGTTTCCCACAACTCTAACTTCAAGAGTTCTACGACTTTCCCATTCTTCGGCTTAAATAGGATGGCAGAGTTTCCATGTTGAGACAGCTTCTTAATTTTAAAAAGAGAATTAATGCTACTCGAAATAACATAAGCCAAAAAAAATGAGGTCAACTTTTTTGCAAGATGGAAAAAGTAATGCCTGACACATAGCAGATGCTAAATAAAAATTTCCTGAGTCTTGGTATTGTCTTAGCAGACAATTTCACCTAACTCAAAATTTCAATCACAATGGCTACAGCCTTTAACTCTTGAATTCCCTTGGGAGAAATATATGGGAACCACTACACCCCAAATGATTTAAAGCATCATAATACGGGAATGAAAATGCTGACTTAGAATTACTCTAAGACTGAGTTTTACAAAATCTATGCCAGAGCTTAGCATTATACTGTTCTCTCTGTATCACCTTATAAAATGTCATACAAGCAACAAAAAAGCCAAGAAATTGGATTCTCCTCTTCAATTTTGTAATAAAATATAATTTTACATTTAAAGCTACACCAAAATCATACCTTAAAATGCTTATCAAGCACACACACATTTTGCTATATTTTATATGGATCTCACTCAGTCCCTTGATTTCATACTCACGAGATCGGCATATTTCTTACAGAGAGCTGCCAGCTTCTCTTCTGGAGTTGAAAGGGTGTTTAGCGCTTGCATCAATAATAAAACTTCTTTTCCTGATGATGAACAAGATAAGAAATAAGTCCTGGAAGAAGGATGAGATCGAATCTAACCTGGAAATTCTACATAAGACTTCCTATGTTCTGAAATCCAGAGTAAAATGATTTATGCCTACAACTAGAAATAAGTGATTTACCGGCTAAAGTAAGAGAGCTATTTTTAATTTCGGGATTAGCAGGCACCCCTCCCGCCCCACCTCCACCCCAAATTTCTTTACTCACTAAGACTGCTAGCTATTTGTAAGAACTCTTGCTTAACCACTGATGTCCAAGTTAAGACAAAGGGCAAGTTACAAAGGGCAGAATATTTTTAAAAGCTTCCTCTTAACCGAATACCAACATAGAAGCAAGTTCAAAGGGAATTTCAGTGGGTTCTCTGCATAAGATGCACATGATCACATGTGACACATTATCTTTTCCTATGAGCAATTTAAATAACTTCTGATGATTTACTAAGTATACTCTACGTGTTAACCAAGTTCGGTGTAAATAAAAAAGATGTCAAGATCGCTCTTCCCTCAGGGAAAAGAGCTCAAAAACAATATTTGAAGACTTTGGCAGGGAGAAAGCAGGTGGCTGAGATAGGAGGGGATAAGCGGTGTTTCAAAATCAGTGGTCATGTTTTATTATTTTTTTAAATTATTTTTTATTTTCTCTATACATTTTTATTTTTATAGGCGAGGCAACCCTTGGTTGACCTCACAGATTGCAGGGACCTTGTCAGCTTACGCCTACAGCACCTGGTCTTCCTAGGTGGTAATGTTTTATTTCTTAAGCTGGGTGGTAGGTATCATTTTTATTTTTTAGAATGTTCATTTGCATGTAGGCTATTTCATTTTAAAATATATTAAAATGACTTTGGTATATGATATACAAACTGCTATGAGGAAAAAAGGCTGACTTCAAAATAGAGTATTTTTCTATCTACATAAAATTTTAGTAACAAAACCTTTTCTCATTCGGCCTAAGGCCAATACAAATTTTAAAAGACATGACTGAACATAATTATTGACTATAATTGGAAATAAACGTAATGCGACTTGCAATTTTTATGATTTTTAAACTCACACTCACTGGGTTTTTTTGATATACAATTCACATACCATAAAATTCACCCTTTTACTGGTAATGAGTCTCACCTACTGACTTTTTCCTTTCCCTATCAATGATAGAAGGAATGTTTTGAGGAATATTTACAAGCTCGGTTACCGTTCATTAGCTGACTTGTACAGAACGAATGCATGGTGAGGGGTGGGAATCCCTGTCCTTCACTGGTAAACTCTAGTAAGGAGAAAAATTATTTTTGTGATATTGAAGTTGAACTTACATGTTCTACTATCAACATTTCACTGTGAATGAAATAAAGCCAATGCTAATCAAATTTTTTTTAAATTCACCTTTTTAAAGTATACAATTGAGTATGTCCACGAAGTTGTGCAACCGCATCGCCACTGTTTAACTTTAGAACATTTTCATCACCCCAAAAACATACCCCGTGCCCAACAGCAGTCACTCCCCATTGCTCCTTCCTCCAGGCAACCACTATTCTAACTTTGTCTCCATGGATCTGCCAATTCCAAACGTTCCATATAAAATGGAATCGTATAATACATGGCCTTTTGTGTCTGGTCTCTTTCACTTAGCATAATTTTTTCGAGGTTCATCCACATTAGCTGTATCAGTACTACATTCTTTTTTTAAATAGCTGAATCACATTCCACTGTACAAATATACCACATTTTCTTATTCATTCATCTGTTGATGGATAACTCGTTTCGACTTTTTGGCTGTGAGAATAATGTTGCCACGAACACTGGTGTATAAGGTTTTGCATGGAGACATGTGGTCAATCTCCTTGGGCATATACCTAGAGGGAGAATGGCTGGGTCACATGGTAATGCTATGTGTAAGTTTGTAAGACTCCATCTGTTTTTACACATATAACTGGGGCTGCTGACTTTGAAGAAATTTGTCTTGTTTGTAAGAAATTAAAATTATTTTTCGTATTTCTATATATTTTTAAGTTTCCCAAGGTAGCAGAAAATGGATTTAATAAGGATAATTCTAATTCAGCATACAGAAATCATACAAATCAAGCACTGTTAATCTTAGGTATGATAAGTATAAAGCCTTGGGGGCAACCAGTAAGGCTATAATAAAAGGAGACTGAGATGTCATAATGAGGTGACATGTCACATTCTTAGTCCGAAATCTCAAACACAGCAGGAGAAAGAAAACAGACCCTGGAAAGCCAGTCTTAACCCACTTTCTGACCTATAGATGACACTATGTTGTCTCTAAAGTTTTGTGACTAGTTTTTAAATAAAGAGATCAAATCTACAGTTTTCACAGTAAATGCTGGTCAGACTATATTAAAGATACAAATAAGGCACGTCGAGTTTACTTCTGCCAAGTCGGTCCGAAATTTTTTCACGGAAGCCAACTGTTGATTATTTAGAGAGAACTTTGTACTCTGCTATCTTCACCGCCTGCACTACCTGCAGCCGACAGGCTGACTGAGCCACTAAAGAGAACAGATGTAGTAGCTAAACAAAAACCTCAATGCTGGCCGCGTTCATAACCACCGGTGCGAAAGTGTAAGTAAATGACAGCGTGCAAACGTCCAACCACCGCGCAGACTGTTACCTAGGGTTTTGTCTTTGTTCCTGCCGCACTCGGGATCCTGCTGACTGTCACGGGGGTCTGTTCGAGCTTCGCGCCCAGGAATTTCCTCTCTTGACTCTTGTGTGCAGTACGCTGAACTCACCAAACTCCTGCTTTTTGTTATAAAGTCACTGCCTTCATCCTCTTCCAGTGAATGCTTGATACTTGTGCCACCACAATGCAAGTCTTGGTGTTGAAGAATGTCATTTGATTGAGAATTATGTAACACATCTGCTTTCACCCCAAGCCCACACATTCCAGCTTCTTCCATTGTGCCAATCACAAACTAAAAGGAAGGGAGGAGAAAAAAGATGGAAAAGGGGTTTAAATCAAATGTAATGGATGTTTAGAACCAACGGCACACCATAGGTTTGACGGTTTTTTCTTAGTGGTTTGTAAAATTAATGTTAAGTATGGTATGTAGTTCCTAAGTTTCCTGGAGTGGTGACCTAACTGTAAAGTATAAGAAAATTCAAGTTAAAACAAATCACACAATTAAGTGGTATCAAAGGAAGCAAGAAATGCCATTTATTTGTAAATCTAAACTTATTTCCCTATAAAAACTCACCACTAATTAGCATCTTAACAGATGTGAAATTATCCCAAGGTAATGAACATTAATTGTTCTGGTCTGGATGGTGATCACTTTGTAGTGTAAACAGATGTTGAATTATAATGTTGTACACCTGAAACTTACAAAATGTTATATATCAATTTTACCTCAATTAAGAAAAATCATTCTGGTCTTGTCTTCAAGGGGATGGTGTAGCAAAGATGGTTCATTAGCTATCCGGCAAAAGCCCGTGCTCTTTCAATGTCCTCTGGAGCTGGCACGGCCAGACAAGTGCTCAGCCAAGGACTCCATCTCCCAGCCGCTTACATCTAGTGGGAGTCCCATGTGAAGTTCCCACCAGCAGGACGTGAGCCCAGGTGGTAACTGTCCCTTCTGCAACAAGACTTTTACTCTTAGAAGTAGACATTCTCTCTCCACCACCTCTTCCTCCATTCTGGCTGAATGCAGAAGTCTTTAAGACCCTGAGATGAAAGCGGCCTGGACCCCTAAATCCCACAGACATACAAGGACAGTCACCCTTTTACAAAGAACACCCCCGCCGCTATTATTATTAAACTACAAGGTTTCATGGATGAACCTCGAAATCATTCCGCTGTATGAAAGAAGCCAGACACAAAAAGCCACACGTTGGCCACAACAAAACCAACTAATAGAGGAGCAAGAAAATAAGTTTCTCTCATGTTAAGCCACAGAAATTTTGAGAATAATGTTTTAAGTAGCTATCTTACTTAAAACTAATACAAGTTGGTAGGCATGGGACACATGGTTTTATTCTAGTATTTTATCCAGTAATTTTACCTTATTCTCTCTTCCATATTGTTAACCCATTTGTTTTTCCCCCCTTGTTAACACTGCTTGATCATATGATGTGGCACAAATTTAAATTTTGTACATTTCTTCTTTGTATGAAAAAGGGCTTCTTCCTGTTTTGAATAATACAGTTGAGGGGGAAGGTGTCTGATATTTTTCTCTTATAACAAGTGGACAAAAGCTACTTTCCAAAGTTAATGGGAGAACAAAGATTTCAAATTACAATATCCAATTGAAGAACTAAAAATAATTTAAAGTATCAAAGCAGGAGATGAAGAGGTTAAGGGAATGAAATCTTTATCTTTTAGTCTAATGTTGATAAATCAAGTACTGTGCTTTTGAAAGAACAAGTTGGTACAGCTACTCTGAAAACCTCTTTGGCAATATGGATGCCTTCCAACCCAGTTAATTCTAGCCCTAGGATTTTACCCAAGTGTGTACATATGTGCAGTCGAAGGACAAGAATGTCTAGAGCAAGGCTATTTGTAATTGCCCCAAAATGGAATCTACCCAAATTTCTATCAACAGAAGAATGGATACATTCTAATATGTTCATACCATCCAGAAATGAGAATGAACTACTACTAGATACAGCAACACAGATGAGTAAGGGAGGTGCCAGAAGAACAGACTTTAGGAAACCATTTATATATAAAGTTCGAAAATAGGCAAAGCTAATCCCTAGTGCTAGAAATCAGGATGGCGGTTACTGCTAAGGGTAGGACCTTCTGGGGTGCTTGGCAATATTCTGTCTTGATCTAGATGGGGCAGCACAGATGTTCACTTTGTGAAAATTCATTAAAGCCTAAACATCTGTGCTTTGTATACCTTCTGAATGTATGTTTTACTTTCACAAGGTTTATTTTAAAAGTTGTTAATTTATATATTATTCAAAAGTTATGAAGAACCGAAACAATTATTTTCCTCTGGGGAGAAAGATTAGAGATGTGTTGCTTTTTATGATACTTTAAAAATCAAAATAATGTACATGTAATACTTTTTTTTTTTTTTTAAGTAATGCATTAAGGGGAAATGGGTTGTCCATTTTCAGGGTTACAGTTTGATGTCACACTCTAAGCCTAATTCAGATTTTAGGAACTTACAAAGTAATACTGAAGGACTCTTAAAATTCTTCCAAAAAATTTTAAAATTCACTTTCACATGTAATATATTCCATTGAGCGGTATTTCTTAAGTATAATCTATAGGTATTAAGTTTGTCAAAAAATTCATGATGAAGTTTTAGGAAATGTCCTTTGTTAAATTTGATTAGTGCAGAAACTTCTTAAAGCCATTAATACACTCAAATAACACACTACAGAAGTATTAATAGCAAGCTATATGCAAAATGATCATTCTAGCGTGACATTATGCATGACTACTAGTTCCACCTCCACTTTATATCAAACTGCCATCTACTAGTTGGGCACATAGATAATATTAACAGAGACCCTTTTTAAAAAAGCAATAAAGAAAAAAAAAAAATGAGTACTATTAATCACATCTTCCCCAATTTTAAAAAGATAAATTTCAAACCTATTCCCTGAAAACCATTAGTATTAAGAATAGGGCTACAAAACCACAATGATGGCTTTCTTTAAATATTGATGAAAGTCTGTTAAAAGATAATTAAAATGAAGTTTATCTCTAACACATAACAGGATTTCTCAGAAACGTGATGATAATAAAACCCACATAATACCAGAAAGTGTGGTGTCAAGCCCTATCAAAATATAATGAGAAAGCAATTTTTTTGGAAGATGGAGCGCATAAATAATTTTCACCAAGGAAAACCTGAGGCCTCTCCCAGGGTCAATTTTAACAAGAAAGCTATGAGAGTAATGAGCTGGTTAATCTGTAGTTTTTCAGTTCTGTTAGTAATTTTTATAACACCTTTATTGAGATGTAATTCACATACAATTCACCAATTTAAAATATACAATTCACTAGTTTTTAGTGTATTCACAGAGTTGTGCAACCATCACCAGAATCAACTTTAGAACAAACTCAGTACTCTTTAGCTATAAACCCCTAATTCTCCCATTATTCCCAGCCCTAGGCAACTAGTGTACTTTCTGTCTCTATAGATGTGGTTATTCTGGACATTTCATATAAATGGAATCATGCTGTATGTGGCCTTTTGTGTCTGGCTTCTTTCACACGGCATGATTTCAAGGTTCATTCACGAAACCTTGTAGCTGTAGCATGTATCACGGATTTCATTTCTTTTTATTGCCAAATACTACTCTGCTATATGCGTAGAGTGCATTTTATTTATCCATTCCTCAGGTGATGCACATGTGGATTAATTCCAACTTTTAGCTATCATGAATAATTGTTATGAACATTAATGTACAAGTCTTTGTGTGGACATGTTTACATTTCTCCAGGGTATAGACCTAAGAGTGGAACCGCTGGGTCATACGGTCACTCTGTATTTTAACCTTTTGAGGATATGCCTGCCACATTGGTTTTCAAGTGGGTACACCATTTTGCATTCCCACCAGCAGTGTATGGGGATTCCAATTTCTCCACATCGACGCTGCCCTTTTGATTACAGGCATCTTAGCTGGCGTGAAAGTATCTCATCTAATGCCTAATAATGTTGAGAATCTTTTCATGTGCTTATTGGCCATTTGTATAACTCCTTTGGAGAAATGTCTATTCAGACCCTTTGTCTCTTTTTTTAATTGAGTGATCTGTTATTTTATGATTGAGTTCTAAGAGTTCTTTATACTACATACAAGTCCCTTATCATATACATAGTTCGCAAATATTTTATTACTGTTCCTTATTCTCTCAATTTGGGAAAAAAGGCACAATATATTTATTTCAAAATGCCATAGGAGAGTTAATTAAAAGTTACTCTGGCTTATAGAGTAAAGGCATACAGGTCCAAACAATTACCACAGACAGAAAAAAGACAGTTTAAAGACTCTAGAAAAGCCAAAATGTTCACCCAACTCAAAAGAATAGCTGGTAGTACTGAGCATAAAGATATTAAGCTAATCCGTACAGTGTATGACCGTCACATCTCATGCTGTCCTAATTTTATTTCATCGTTCTCTATTTTTAGTTAATATTTCTTATTTTGTCTTCCAGACACCCCTTTCACTACTAAACTCCTGTCACATATATTATCACTTATTTGGTATGCATATCCTCCTAGATAGCAATAGTTTATGCATAAAAGTTACTCAAATGCCAGTTGATGGAGGACACAAAGAACCAAAATGGCAACTGAACACAACCATGGAAAGTATCTAAGCCTTATTACGCAAGTTGGAGAAAAATGCCACTTATTATTTTATCATTAGACAAGCAAGACATTATATTTCCCTTCTCTCACGTGCAACTAATTTTGATGTATTTTTCGCATTTGCTAATGAAAGACTTACTCCAGCTCTACGAAATCTTTTTGTTTATGAATAAACCCAGTTCCAGCTGGGCTTGATTCAAACCCCAGTCTACAAATACTCTTGAAATAGTAGGCCCCAATTTTTCTACTGTAAGGATTATTCGTTCAAGAACCTACTTAAGGCTCTGCATTGGGCTATTTGATATGAATCAAATTCTTAGGCCAGCAAGCTTATTTAAATTGTAAATGATTTCTCAGCCCTCATCTCCTTAAGCAGAGAATTCTATATCTTATAGATATAATTCTATATCTACTCTGTCCTCTCTGATACCCAATCTGGAAGACTTTTCTTGGATACAATCTCTTGCATAAACGCTAGCAGCAACAGCTAACACCTTATACAGCAAATAGTACACCCAGACATTACTGTAAGTACTTTCCTGTATTAACTAATTTAATCCTCACAATGTCACAAGATAGGTATTATTATTGCCTCCATTTTACAGATGGGCAAACTGTGGCATGGTAAGTTAAGTATCTTGCCT